TCCGCACCAAGCAAGAATAGTACAGAATTAAAATAAAAAATCGAACGATTCCATCATGGAATTCCAAAAGTCCAACTAAAAACTCTTAAAATCGCGCGGTGGTGGAAGTCATCTTCTCCTCTATGGTTTATATTTCCATCCAAGTTGTTTCGAGTTAAGTTACAGACAGAGTCATACAAAACACACAAATATACTCCATGGCTATATTTTCCAAGTGTCTTAGCAAGACAGATATTGGGAAGAGATTGTCTGTTCCAAGCAAGTCTCTCAAGTATTTCCCGCTGTCCAGCGAACAGCATGCGGTTGACTTCAAGGTCAAAGACGAGAACGGTCGGGTCTGGACATTCCGGTGTTATACCCGCAGGAAGAAGCACCTGAAGCCGGTTCTTACCAAGGGATGGCGTGAGTTTGTTTGCACCAAAAAGCTTGAAATTGGGGATAAAGTGGAGTTTTGCAAGGAGGATGAAGAGGGCGCCGGCAACGGCACCAGGTACTGTGTGAAAGTGAAGAAGGTGGTCAGAGTATTTGGTGCTGCTCTTGGGCACGTGCCAATTGTTCTCCCTCATTAGGCCAATGAATTTCTTCTGAACCTTGTAAAAATTGTAGTATTATGCTTTCTCCAGATTAAATATTACCAGAAAATTGTACAAATTATGTAAAATTATTTAAATATTTTTATATATTTACATGTGTGGAGGTTTTAGTAAGATATTTAAATAAAAATATTTTTTTTACTCATTTTCTTTGTCAGTTGACTTAACAAATATTTTTTGAGAATTAGTGTTGATTAGCTTTATTTCTTAAAAATTAGAAAGAGAATTATTTTTAAATTATATTTTTTTAATAAAATATTATAAAAAAATTAAAAACAATGTAATTTTTATTTTAAAAATAAAATATTTTAATTTTTTTAATAAAACTTTATTAAAATAATTTAATTTTAGGATAGTTTTTTTCTTAAACGAATGGGTATTATTCTTTATTTTTTAAATATAATATATCACCCTTTTAATTTTTTTTGGTAATACAAGGAGTAGAAGAGAGAGGGCTGCAAATATATTTACTCGAAATTTATCTTGCCATAGAGACATGACATTAAAGGCAAGGATATTAAGAAATTCATGCGTTTGTGAGGGAAAACAGTCTTTTATTATTAAATAGAATCATACATATCCTCAAGTCAACGACTTGTTACTTTCACTGGAAAAAACCAACATTTCTATATGAATTGTTTAATGGCGTTAAATTATATACTATTTTAAAATAGTTAAATATATTTAATTAATTTAAAATTTGAAATTAATAATATAAGTGGTATGTGCATAAAATTAGTAATTAATTTAAAATTTGGTACAAATTATATTATTTAAACTAATAGAAGATTCATAAAAAAATTTTAAAAATTTGTTCCCTCTAGTATAAATTTCTAGCTTTATCTCTAGTTTTAGAGTCGAATTTTATTAATATAGGGATGTGTATTAAGAGAATTTTTTTTATAGTATTTAACGAAACTTAACTGTAAATTTATTAGAATTTAATATAACTTTTAGACATTAAAAGATTTAGTAAAAAAAATCAATAGTGTGGTAAGATTGTAATATAAAATTGTTGTGTAAATGATTTTTCAAGTTTTGTAAAATATTGCTAATACGCAACACCTTACTGATAATTTCACACATAATCACAACCGAAAATATCACGGTAATTGAAAAGTTGGGCCAATGGGAAATTCAGACTTACCTTAGTTACTAAGGTTAATCATTGGGCTCCATTTTTTTGTTTGAGGTTCAAAAAAAAATTGTTGGGCTCTATAAACTGCAAATATTAACAGCTTGTTTCATTAAAGTAGTGGACCTATAGATAGACCAAAAGCCCAAACCAAGGTAAAGTAAATAAGAAGACCCCATTTTGTAATTGTTGCTGTACTTTAATTGATATAACTGGCTCAAACCTGCCTTGGGCCCAATGCACCAATCATGCAAGGTATCTAACGGGAGCCCAATGCGCACTAACCTCATACTACTTGTCCAAGTCAAGGTGCACATGTTTCCTCTCGTTATGGCAAGAATGGATCTAGTTAGGGACAAAAAATAATAATAATAATAAAAGGGTTTTTTTAATATATATTTTTAGGGTGAAGATTAAGTGTAATAAATATATTTTTTATTTTTAATTTATATAAAAATAATAAAAATTAATATTTATTTTAATATTATTATCATGTGAATAGTTTAATTAATCAATTAAGTAAATTAAAATTAATTATTATTATTATTTATATTTATTAATTATAAAAAATGTATTTATTACAGTTTTATTCTGTACTCTTAAGCTATAAGATAGAAAATTCTTTAATAAAATATATGTTTGAAAAAAAAGCTATTTTAAAAACACCTGTAGGTTTTACAGTAGTTGAGTTTTGATTCCACCTCCCTCATCACTAGTACTTTTTTGCAATATTCAAATGAACCTGAATTAAAAGTAAGAAAGCGAAAAATTTTTTTGAACAGGTGCAATTTTGGAGAAGGAAAAGGGGTTAAATTCAGCTCATGGAGCAGGGTAATGCACCTATAAACCAAGTGATCTGTAAGGTTAGGTGTGAGAAAGCGAAAATTAGTCAAGTTTATTGGGGATTGCTTTCATGATAGGAGAAAAGTAAAAGTTAGAAGATTAATATATGCCATAAGTATAAAATATGTGAAATATAATATGAATTTTATTTGTATTTTATTTATTATGTGATTATAGTTGAATGTTTTAAGTTTATAATCGTAAAAAGATCAAGATATTTTGATTTTTTTAAAATAAAATTTGATAAGTAAAAAGATTTATCTATTTTATCCTTCATTTAGTTTATTTCAAGCTAAACATATTGTAAGTATTTATAATTATATTTTACATTTTAAAAAAATTAAATAAAAATTCAAAGACACCTATAGATAGATATATCTTTAAATGCTTAGGTTAATTGATTAAAAATCTAAAAAGTAAAGGTCTACAATTTTGAAATTTTGAATCCTACTTTCTTTGGTGCTAAGTTTTTTTAAGTTATTTAAAGAAAAAAAAAAGTTATATAATTTAAATCATATAACATTAATCATTGGATGATGAATGAATCTTTTGATATTAGTAACCATCTTCCATTTATTGATCAATACTTTGTAATTTACATTATAAAATAAAAATCTTTTTCTTTAAAACAATGTAATTAAACTTAATTAGTGTTATTCGTAATATATAGACTTGCACTTCACCTAAAAAAACGTAAATCCTTCGGATATTAATATTCTTTGAGATTAATTACTCTACACAGTTCTTTTTTTCAACTTAAACAATGCTTCGCAACAATCTCCTTTCGAATGCACCGTGATGCAACCATTTGCATCATGGAGATAAGTTTGGTAAATTTATCATTATAAAAGTGGGAATCGTTGTTAATTTTGTTTTTTTTTAAAATGAAATGAAGTCCGTACAAATTAAACAGTTGACTAAGAAACAAACAACAATTAACAACATTAATAATGCCTTCTTGCCGGTACATATGTAACGGATCTAAATCTAATTTCATTGGTTATGTCAATAAAATGGTGTGTTGCTTTATTGTTCGATCCCTAATGCACATTACCCTGCACACAGCGTTATATATAAAGTGGTCTTGTAGCTATGATAATAGCACCACAACTTAGCCTCTCCTACTTTAGCAGACCCTGGGAAACTCTCCCTCTCTCATGTGAGTTTAGCTTTGAATAATTATTTCTGTTTTGTTATCCAGAGTATAATAGATTATAAAATCTAAATCATTAGACGAGAGATCCTGTCTGCGATCTCGATCTCCTCATCTGCCAGTCCATTCTCTAGAAAAATATGGCCTAGAGAATATAAGAAAAGATGTTCTCAAATTTATTTCATTAATTAGAAAACGCATTTTCATTTTCATTTTCGTCTTCGTTTTCTAATGCGCCAATCATGTTTTGTTTCATGCGTTTTCCATCCTTAGAATCCCAGCTAAGATTGATAAGAGATGCCTGGAGGAAGAAGGCTATTCAAGAAGTTGCTGACTGTTCCTGATATTAGGAAAAGGCTGGCGATCCCAACACAAAGTCTCACCTTTTTACAGGTGGATTTCCATGAACGCCGTACCTTGCAATTGAATGTTACTTCTGAGGCGACGGTTTGGCCCATGGTTTGCTCTACTCGTCAAAACGGCCACAAGAAACCAGTTCTCTCCAAGGGTTGGTTGCCATTGGTTCGCAAAAATCAGCTGAATGTGGGTGATACACTGACTCTCTACATGGAGGAAGATGGGGCGGGATTCCAGTGCAGGATTGAGGTGGAGAAAGTGACCAGGCCACTTCCTCCTGTTCATGGAACCAACACAACTAAGAAGCTGCAACAGCAGGTGACAAAAGCTGTCATGCCCCTTGATGATCAAAACCGGCCAAATGAGGATGTTGTTTTTTTTTTGAATTTAGATCTATCCCTGGGGCTCCCTGATTCCACAGGGAGGCTGAAGGTAACCAATTAGCTATGGCTAGCAAGAACTGTACAATAAGGAGAAAATGTGTGGATAAAGATGTTAATTTTTTATTTTTTATTTAAGGATATTAATTTTGTTAATTTTAAATAAA